AGGAGGTGGCCGAAAAAGGGGGGCCCAGGCGGCCCCTGAGCTGCCACCGCGGGCCCGCAGGGCGCGCGAGAGGTGCCCACGTGTAGCCCCGCGCTTCTTGCCCTCCTCCCTCCTCCCTCCTCCCTCCCTCCTCCTCCTCCTCCATCCCTCCCTCCCTCCTCCCTCCTCCCTCCTCCCTCCTCCTCCTCCTCCTCGCTCCTCCCTCCTCCCTCCTCCCTCCTCCTCCTCCTCCTCCTCATCCTCCTCCTCCTCCTCCTCCTCCTCCTCCTCCTCCTCCTCCTCCTCCTCCTGGGTCCAGCTTTCCATCCCGAGCCGCTCCTTGCGGACCCTGAGGGCCTGGCGAGGGCCCCAGGGAGGGCCAAAGATGTCCAGAAACATTCCGCCGTGAGCTCTTCGCGACGAGAGCTGGGCCACCGAATGTTTCCCGCATCGACCGCAGAGGCTGCTGGAGGTTCCTAGGGCTCCCAACTTCGCGCTTCGCGCTGCGCGAAGCACGAATAACTTCGCACTCTCGCGCCGCCCCCCCAAAGGGAGAAAAGGAGGACGAGGAGGAGGGGGAGAAGGAACGAGGACCGCGAGGCGAGAATGACTTCGCGCCCTCGTGGGAGCCCTTGGGGTTCGTAGGTGAGCACATCCAATTGAGGGCCAGCAGAGAAACCAGAGGACGCCCGAGCACGGATCGTGCCCTCCGCGTGCGGAGGCCTGAGCCGCGCCCTGAGCGCCGCAGCGATTGGCGAAGGGAGCCCGGATATGATCGTGGATGCCACGACAATGGACACCCTAACAATCCTACTATCATTGAGTTGCAAATGCGATTAACATGTATAATACATGCTCTAAGCACGCTTCAAACATGATTTTAACATATTTAAGCCATGTTTGAAACATATGTTAGACTTATGGAAAGTATTATCTTGCACAGGGTGTCTAGAGCTCCGACTACTTTATCCCGCGTCGCACACACCCCCTCTCCCCCGCGTCCCCAGCGCCAGAGTGGGACCTCCGCGCCGTGGCTCTCTGCCCCGAGCCCCCCCACGTCCCCAGCGCCCCAAAGGAAGCCCCGCCCACTGCCCCCTCCGCCACGAACGCTTTAATCATCATACCTACCGGTGTGATCTCGCACTGCTTCATTTCGACCGTGCGCTCTGCTGGTGGTTCTGCTGGTGGTCGTGCTCGTGGTCCTGCTGGTGGTTGTGCTGGTGGTTGTGCTGGTGGTTGTGCTGGTGGTTGTGCTGGTGGTCGTGCTCGTGGTTGTGCTGGTGGTCGTGCTTGTGGAGGTGCTGGTGGCCGTGCTGGTGGCTGGTCGTGCTGGTGGTCGTGCTGGTGGTTGTGCTGGTCGTCGTGCTGGTGGATGTGCTGGTGGTCGTGCTGGTCGCTGGTAGTGGTTGTGCTGGTGGTTGTGCTGGTGGTCGTGCTGCTGGTTGTGCTGGTTGTCGTGCTGGTGGTTGGTGGTGCTGGGTGGTCGTGCTGGTGGTCGTGCTGGGGTGGTCCTGCTGGTGGTCCTGCTGGTGGTCGTGCTGGTGGTCCTGCTGGTGGTTGTGCTGGTCGTTGTGCTCCCCCCACACCCCGCAGGCTCCCCCGCCCTGTCCCCCGTGCTCCCCCCGCCCTCCCGGACCCCCCTCCCCTTATTCCGACCGTGCGCCCTCCCCCCGCTCCTCCCCTGCGCCTCCCTCCTCTCCCCGGACTCCCGCGCTTGCTCCTCCGTGCTCCCACCGCCCTCCCCGGGCCCCCCTCGTGCGCCCTCCCCCCGCTCCTCCCTTCCACGCTCCGACCGTCCTCCCTGGGCCCCCCTCCCCTTGTTCCGACCGTGCGCCCTCCCCCCGCTCCCCCCCTGTGCCTCCCTCCTCTTGCCTCCGTGCCCCCCGCCTTCCCCGGGCCCCCCTGGCCTGATTCCGACCGCGCGCCCTCCCCCCGCTCCTCCCGCCCCTCTGCCGTTGCCCCCGTGCTCCCCCCATTCTTCCCAGACCTCCGCGCCTTCTCCCCCGCGCTTCCACCGCCCTCCCCGGGCCCCCCTCCCCTTATCCGACCGTGCGCCCTACCGCCCCGCTCCTCCCTGCACCCCCCTCCCCTTGGCGTCCGTGCCCCCCCGTTTGGCCTGGATTCCCTTACCCCTTACTCCGACCGTGCGAGCCCTCCCCCGCCCCTCCCCTGCGCCCCTCTCCCGATTCCTCCCCGTGCCCCCCCCCGCACCCCCCAGTCTCGCCCGCCCTGTCCACCCGTGCACAGGGGGCTCCCTGGACCCCCCACTCCTTATTTCCGACCGTGCGCCTCCCCCCGCTCCTCCCCTGCGCCTCCCTCCTCTTGCCCCGTGCCCCCCATCTTCCCAGAGGCCCCCTCCCCTTATTCCGACCGTGCGCCCTCCCCCCGCCCCTCCCCTGCGCCACTCTCCCGTTGTCCCGGTGCTCCCCCCATTCTTCCCTTTCCTCCGCGCCTTCTCCCCCGTGCTTCCCCCGCCCTCCCCGGGTTCCCCTCCCCTTACTCAGACCGTGCGCCCCCTCGCCCCGCTCCTCCCCTGCGCCCCCCTCCCCTTGCCTCCGTGCTTCCCTGCGCGCCCCCACCCTCTCCGGGCTTCCGCGCCTTCTCCCTCGTGCTCCACCCGCCTTCCCCGGGCCCCCTCTCCTTATTCAGATCGTGCGCCCTCTCCCCGCTCCTTCCCTGCGCCCCCCTCCCCTGGCCCACGTGCTTCCCCCACCCTCCCCGAGTTTCCGCGCATGCTCCCTCGTGCGCGATTGTATGATCCTTGGCACGCGTGCCCCTTGTTCCGCGTCGCACACACACACCCCTCCCCCCCCGTGTCCCTAGCGCCACTGGGAACCCCGCGCAATGGTTCTCTGCCCCGAGCCCCCCCGCGTCCCCAGCGCCCCAGTGGGACCCCCGCGCCGTGGATCTCTGCCCCGAGCCCACCCGCGTCCCCAGCGCCCCAGCGGGAGCCCCGCCCACGGCCCCCTCCGCCACGAAAGCTTTATTCCGCGTCGCACACACGCACACACACACACACACACACACACACACACACACACACACACACACACACACACACACACACACACACACACACACACACTCCCCCCTGCGCCCCCAGCGCCAGAATGGGAACCCCGCGCCGTGGTTCTCTGCCCCGAGCCCCCCCGCGTCCCCAGCGCCCCAGCGGGAGCCCCGCCCACTGCCCCCTCCGCCCCAGCGCCAGACTGGGACCCCCGCGCCGTGGCTCTCTGCCCTGGGCCCCCCCGCGTCCCCAGCGGGAGCCCCGCCCACTGCCCCCTCCACCACGAACGCCTCATTCCGCGTCACACACACCCCTCCCCCCCCGCGCCCCCAGCGCCAGAGTGGTCCCTTCTGTGCAAGAGCCATGGCACGCGTGCCGCTTGATTGACAGCATGCTCCCTCTCCATTGACCGTCCTCCACAAGGATATGAGAGCCTGAGTGCCAGATATGCCCGTACCTGAGAGCCGTGCCGGAGCGCCGAGTGTTTCCCGCATTGCGCCACAACCCTTGGAGAAAGGGAACCGCTCTGGCCCAGACCGCGACGCGCGAAGCGCGATCATCTTCGCGCCCCCGTCGGTGACCAGGTGATGTTTTTCACGACGCGAGGGGTGTAGCTACCCATCGGTCGGAAGAAATGGGTAAAAACATGAAGTGGGCAGGCGTTGAAAGTAGATTGGATCCCCGCCCGCCTCCGGAAGCGGAGGGAGGAGGGACCACCACTCGATGCCTGAAGCAGGAACGTACTCTGGGAGCCCGCGAGGAGGATGCCGGGGCGACCACACTGCTCAACAGGTGAGGAGGAGGAGGCCGGGGCGACCACACTGCTCAACTCAAAACGAATACCCAACCATAGGAAGGTTGGGAAAAACGCTGCGGCGGCAGCCGGTCTCCAACCGCTCGGGGCCCGCCGCTCGCCGGCAGCAGAGGTTCCGGCGGGGCCGCCGGCCCGGAGCGTCCGCGTCTGGGCGCGAGGACTCGGACGCCGGAAAGGGGAACGGAAAGAATTGGCACAATGCCAAACAGCATATGTTGGCCAAAACCGAGGGGGAGGAGGAGGAGGAGGAGGAGGAGGAGGAGGAGGAGGAGGAGGAGACCAGAGGAGGAGGAAGGGAAGCAGGTGGAAGAGGCCGGAATGGTGGGCTATATGGCATCGGCGAGCGAGTAGCTGGAGTGCTTCGCTCACGGCGAGTTGAGAGCATGGCATCTACGGCCAGGCACAATAAGGGAACTCACAGTGCGTGCCTAGTTCAGGCGTGTCGATGTGCCACGATAAAAGAAAAAGACAGGCGAACTCGACAGTCAGGCTTCTCGCCGGGCATCCCGGTTCGCTGCTGCTGCCCTGTCGGTCGCTTGACCAGAAACAACAGAAAAAACATTGAATCCAGAATATAATCGATTTCCAGATTTTGGTCTTGGCCAGCGTCTACGTATCACTATAGGTTCGTGCAACGGCGAGTCAAGCTGTTCATTCAGAGCCGAGCCCAGCCAGGAATGGACAAGAAAAACAGACAATAAACTGTAAATCTACAAATGAGATTTTGTTCTGAGTTTTGCTTTCGACGGTTGGATACTACTTGCTATAGTTTGCGCGACGATGAGGATCACCTGTCATCTCAGAGAGGGCCCCCGCCAGACTGAACGACAAACATCAGAAAACACAGAAATCCAGAAAGTACTATCATTTGTTCTATATGTTGCGTTTTGGCCGGTTTCATACTCATTGCTATACACCAGCTCCATCCGAAGCTAGTCACTTCAATCTCTGGAGGTTCCTGCGTCGACGTTGTCGGCGCTCCTCCCCCTTCATCCCCCTCGCTGATTTTCGTTTTGCACGCGTGGTCCCCTGAAACCATGCGCAAATACGTATGTGTTCTGCCTCGTTTTGCTCTGCCACGCGGTTTTCGCTCCGTCCGTTTCCGCGTTCCCTGGGAACTCAAAGCGCACATGCGTGAGTTTCCCCTTATTTACCCAAAACACCACGTGTGAAAACTCCTCCAACTACTCCAACCTGCGTCCCAAAGGGTGGAAACCGATATTGATTTGTACTAGATTTCAACGACTCGAACTTTTTCTATCCTGGAGCTTTCCCGATCCCCTGGAACTCAAAACATTAGCCTGGCGAAGAACCCAACCATATGCAGTTGTCAGTACCGCAGCTGCGGGTTTCATCTTCAGTGGAACTCCCCATAGGACTATGGAACGTGTGAGGGGTGTGCCGAGATGGGTGCCACTGGGGCATTCGGCGAAACTCCCTATGGGGACATGAAACACGCGCGGGGCGTGCCGACATGGGTGGCGGAAGCGCATGTGAAGGCCGCCACTCGGGCCTCCAGTGGAGTTCCCTATGGGTCCCCGAAACATGATGTTGCTGCGGGGGGGGGCCGGGATGGGTGGCGGAAACGCATGTAAGCGCCGCTACTGGGGCCTTCGGTGGAGCTCCCTATGGGGCCACGAAGCGCGTGAGGGGTGTACTGGGATGTGTGGCGGGGACGCATGTGAGCGCCGCCACTGGGGCCTTCGGTGCAGCTCCCTATGGGGCCACGAAAAGTTAGGTGAGGGTGTGCCGAATTGGGCTGCGGGTGGTGCGCATGACGGGACACGGTGACACGGGGGCATTCGGTTGAGCTCCATAAGGGGCACGAAACTGTTGTTGTGAGGGGCGAATTATGAATCGTGCCCGGATGGGTGGAGGTGACGCATGTGAGAGAGCGGCCGCTGGCCTTCGGTGGAGCCTCCCTATGGGCACGTAACGTGTGAGGGGTGTGCCGAATTGGGTGGGTGTGGGTGACGCATGCGGGCGGCGCCACTGGGGCCTCCCGTGGATGATGGGGCCACGAAACCTGTCAGGGATGTGCCGAAATGGGTGTGCGGGACGCATGCGCATGTGAGCGCCGCCACTGGGGCCTTCGGAGGAGCTCCCTATGGGGCCACGAAACGTGTGAGGGGTGTGCCGAAATGGTTGTGGGTGACGCATGCGGGCGGCAGCACTGGGGCCTTCGGTGGAGTTCCCTATGGAGCCACGAAACGTGTGAGGGGTTTTTTTTTGTTATTGTCCTGTGCTCGTATGGGGTGTGCGTGACGCATGCGGGCGGCAGCACTGGGGCCTTCTGTGAGGGCTCCTATGGGGCACGAAGGTGTGAGGGTGTGCCGGTTTAGGGTTTGTGCGTGACGCATTTTGCGGGGGCGATGACTTAGGCTAGGCACTGGGGCCTTCTGTGGGGCTCCCTATGGGGCCACGAAGCGTGTGAGGGGTGTGCCGAATTGGTTGTGCGTGACGCATGCGGGCGGCAGCACTGGGGCCTTCGGTGGGGCTCCCTATGAGGCCACGAAACGTGTGAGGGGTGTGCTGAATTGGATGTGCGTGGCGCATGCGGGCGGCAGCACTGGGGCCTTCGGTGGGGCTCCCTATGGGGCCACGAAACGTGTGAGGGGTGTGCCGAATTGGGTGTGCGGGCCGCATGCGGGCGGCAGCACTGGGGCCTTCGGTGGGGCTCCCTATGGGGCCACGAAACGTGTGAGGGTGTGCCCGAATGGGTGTGCGTGAAGCATGCGGGCGGCAGGCACTTGGGGCCTTCGGTGGGGCTCCCTATGGGGCCACGAAACGTGTGAGGGGTGTGCCGAATTGGGTGGGTGTGGGTGACGCATGCGGGCGGCAGCACTGGGGCCTTCGGTGGGGCTCCCTATGGCGCCACAAAACGCGTGAGGGGTGTGCCGAATTTGGTGTGCGTGACGCATGCGGGCGGCAGCACTGGGGCCTTCGGTGGGGTTCCCTATGAGGCCACGAAACGTGTGAGGGGTGCGCCAGAAACACGAAACAGCGAGAATGCAAAAAACATAGCAAAAAACCTTCCGAGCGCTTCTTGGGGGCTTCTCGGCGCCTCCTGGAGCCACTTGGGGTCGAAAGCTTGGAATTCGATGGCGACCACACTGCTCAACTCAAAACGAATACCCAACCATAGGAAGGTTGGGAAAAACGCTGCGGCGGCAGCCGGTCTCCAACCGCTCGGGGCCCGCCGCTCGCCGGCAGCAGAGGTTCCGGCGGGGCCGCCGGCCCGGAGCGTCCGCGTCTGGGCGCGAGGACTCGGACGCCGGAAAGGGGAACGGAAAGAATTGGCACAATGCCAAACAGCATATGTTGGCCAAAACCGAGGGGGAGGAGGAGGAGGAGGAGGAGGAGGAGGAGGAGGAGGAGGAGGAGACCAGAGGAGGAGGAAGGGAAGCAGGTGGAAGAGGCCGGAATGGTGGGCTATATGGCATCGGCGAGCGAGTAGCTGGAGTGCTTCGCTCACGGCGAGTTGAGAGCATGGCATCTACGGCCAGGCACAATAAGGGAACTCACAGTGCGTGCCTAGTTCAGGCGTGTCGATGTGCCACGATAAAAGAAAAAGACAGGCGAACTCGACAGTCAGGCTTCTCGCCGGGCATCCCGGTTCGCTGCTGCTGCCCTGTCGGTCGCTTGACCAGAAACAACAGAAAAAAAAACATCTGAATCCAGAATATAATACAATTTTCCAGATTTTGCGTCTTGGCCAGCGTACTACGAATCACTATAGTTGGTGCAACGGCGAAGATCAGCTGTCATCTCAGAGCGAGCCCAAGCCAGAATGGACAAGAAACAACAGACAAAAACTGTAAATCTACAAAAATGATATTTTGTTCTGAGTTTCCTGTTTTCGACGGTTGGATACTACTTGCTATAGTTTGCGCGACGATGAGGATCACCTGTCATCTCAGAGAGGGCCCCCGCCAGACTGAACGACAAACATCAGAAAACACAGAAATCCAGAAAGTACTATCATTTGTTCTATATGTTGCGTTTTGGCCGGTTTCATACTCATTGCTATACACCAGCTCCATCCGAAGCTAGTCACTTCAATCTCTGGAGGTTCCTGCGTCGACGTTGTCGGCGCTCCTCCCCCTTCATCCCCCTCGCTGATTTTCGTTTTGCACGCGTGGTCCCCTGAAACCATGCGCAAATACGTATGTTTTCTGCCTCGTTTTGCTCTGCCACGCGGTTTTCGCTCCGTCCGTTTCCGCGTTCCCTGGGAACTCAAAGCGCACATGCGTGAGTTTCCCCTTATTTACCCAAAACACCACGTGTGAAAACTCCTCCAACTACTCCAACCTGCGTCCCAAAGGGTGGAAACCGATATTGATTTGTACTAGATTTCAACGACTCGAACTTTTTCTATCCTGGAGCTTTCCCGATCCCCTGGAACTCAAAACATTAGCCTGGCGAAGAACCCAACCATATGCAGTTGTCAGTACCGCAGCTGCGGGTTTCATCTTCAGTGGAACTCCCCATAGGACTATGGAACGTGTGAGGGGTGTGCCGAGATGGGTGCCACTGGGGCATTCGGCGAAACTCCCTATGGGGACATGAAACACGCGCGGGGCGTGCCGACATGGGTGGCGGAAACGCATGTGCGGGCCGCCACTGGGGCCTCCAGTGGAGCTCCCTATGGGTCCCCGAAACATGATGCTGCTGCGGGGGGGGGCCGGGATGGGTGGCGGAGACGCATGTAAGCGCCGCTACTGGGGCCTTCGGTGGAGCTCCCTATGGGGCCACGAAGCGCGTGAGGGGTGTACTGGGATGTGTGGCGGGGACGCATGTGAGCGCCGCCGCGGGGGCCTTCGGTGCAGCTCTCTATGGGGCCACGAAACGTGTGAAGGGTGTGCCGACTTGGGTGCGGGTGGTGACGCATGCGGGCGGTGCCACTGGGGCCTTCGGTGGAGCTCCCTATGGGGCCACGAAGCCTGTTGTTGTGAGGGGCGTGCCGGGATGGGTGGCGGGGACGCATGTGAGCGCGGCCGCTGGGGCCTTCGGTGGAGCTCCCTATGGGGCCACGAAACGTGTGAGGGGTGTGCCGAATTGGGTGGGTGTGGGTGACGCATGTGAGCGCCGCCACTGAGGCCTCCGGTGGATGATGGGGCCACGAAACCTGTCAGGGGTGTGCCGAAATGGGTGTGCGGGACGCATGCGCATGTGAGCGCCGCCACTGGGGCCTTCGGTGGAGCTCCCTATGGGGCCACGAAGCGTGTGAGGGGTGTGCCGAATTGGGTGTGCGGGACGCATGCGGGCGGCAGCATTGGAGCCTTCGGCGGAGCTCCCTATGGGGCCACGAAACGTGTGAGGGGTGTGCCGAAATGGGTGTGCGTGGAACGCATGCGGGCTGCAGCACTGGGGCTTCGGTGGGCTCACTATGGGGCAGGCACGATTGAGTCGTGAGGGGTTATTGTTTAGTGTGCGAATTGGTTGTGCCGTGAAGGCATAGAGGGAGGCTGCACTTGGCCTTGGGGAGGGATCCTATATGAGGCCACGAAGCGGGATGCTGGGTGTGCCGGAATTTGGGTGTGGGGGACGCATGCGGGGGGGGTGGTGGTGGCACCGGCAGCATGGGGCCTTCGGTGGGGTCCCTATGGGGCACGAAACGTAGTGAGGGTGTGCCGAATTGGGTGTGGGGGACGCATGCGGGCGGCAGCACTGGGGCCTTCGGCGGTGCTCCTATGGGGCCACGAAACGTGTGAGGGGTGTGCCGAATTGGGTGTGGGGGACGCATGCGGGCGGCAGCACTGGGGCCTTCGGTGGGGCTCCCTTATGGGGCCACGAAACGTGTGAGGGGTGTGCCGATGTGGGTGTGGGTGACGCATGCGGGCGGCAGCACTGGGGCCTTCGGTGGAGCTCCCTATGGGGCCACGAAACGTGTGAGGGGTGTGCCGAATTGGGTGTGCGTGACGCATGCGGGCGGCAGCACTGGGGCTTTCGGCGATGCTCCCTATGGGGCCACGAAACGTGTGAGGGTTGTTGTGCGAATTGGGTGTGGGGTGACGCATGGGGGGGGGGGGGGCCCGGGCTGGAACACTGGGGCCTTCGGTAGGGGCTCCTATGGTGTCAGGGGCCACAAAGCGTAGTGAGGGGTGTTTTATTGTTTTGTCTTGTGTGCAGAATGGGTGTGGGGTGGCATGCGGGCGGATATGGCGGCCACGAAACGTGGTGTGAGGGGTGTGCCGAATTGGGTGTGGGTGACGCATGCGGGCGGCAACACTGGGGCCTTCGGTGGGGCTCCCTATGGGGCCACGAAACGTGTGAGGGGTGTGCCGAATTGGGTGCGGGGGACGCATGCGCAGCACTGGGGCCTTCGGTGGGGCTCCCTATGGGGCCACGAAACGTGTGAGGGGTGTGCCGAATTGGGTGTGGGTGACGCATGCGGGCGGCAGCACTGGGGCCTTCGGTTGGGCTTCCCATGGGGCCACGAAACGTGTGAGGGGTGCGCCAGAAACACGAAACAGCGAGAATGCAAAAAACATAGCAAAAAACCTTCCGAGCGCTTCTTGGGGGCTTCTCGGCGCCTCCTGGAGCCACTTGGGGTCGAAAGCTTGGAATTCGATGGTGGCTTTCCTCCTCTGGGGCCCTCTCGGGCCCGTCTTGGGGACTCTCTTGGGCCGTCTTGGGCCCTTCGTGGGCCGTCCTGGAGCTTTCTGGGGCTGTATTGGGGCCCTCTGGAGCGCGTCCTGGGCCGTATTGGGGCGGTCTCGGGAGCTTCTGAGGTCGTCAAGCACGGACCGACAGCGAAAACAAGCAATATGTTGAAAATAACGTTTTACAAAGAGAATGGGGTTATTTTGGCCCCTTGGGGCTCTCTTTGGGGCCCTATTGGGGGTCGCTTGGGGTGTCTTGGGGGCTTCTGAAGCCGCCTTGGAGGCCATGTTGGGCGTCTGGGAGCGACCTTCGGGCGTCCCGGTCTGTTCTGGAGCCTCTTGGGGCCTCCTTGGCGCCTTCTGGCGGCCTTCTGTGAGCCCCGGGGCTCCCCGAGGGCCCCGGGGCCCACATTTGCGGTCGTCTTGGGCCCTTCGTGGGCCGTCCTGGAGCTCTCTGGGGCTGTATTGGGGCCCTCTGGGGCGCGTCCTCGGCCGGACCGACAGCGAAAACAAGCAATATGTTAAACATATACGTTTTACGAAGGGAATGGGGTTATTTTGGCCCCTTGGGGCTCTCTTTGGGGCCCTATTGGGTGGGGGTCGCTTGGGGTGTCTTGGGGGCTTCTGAAGCCGCCTTGGAGGCCATGTTGGGCGTCTGGGAGCGACCTTCGGGCGTCCCGGGTCTGTTCTGGAGCCTTTCGGGCCTCCTTGGTGCCTTCTGGCGGTCTTCTGTGAGGCCCCGGGGCTCCCCGAGGGCCCCGGAGCCCACATTTGTGGTAGCGGCGCCAGCCCCGGGCGCACGGACCTGGTGCGCCGTTATATGAATAAATACGTATGATGTTTTACCATGCGTATACATACACATACGTGAGATGTTACTCCATGCATATGCATACACATACGTAGATGTGATACCATGCATATGCATACACATACGTAAGCATTGACACACACTGCATGTACATGCACGCACGTAAGATGCTGTACCATGCATGTAGATACATGTACGTATGATATGAGGTCACAGATGTTCATAGATATACGTGTGCTGTGGTCTCAGATATACAGATATACAACCATGCCCCCCTAGCTGAATATGATACCTATGTGTGAATCATACGGGGCGCGCATGGGTTAACATCACACATGCATAGGGCGGTGTGTCCCGACAGGCGGCTCCACAGCCGGACAAATGGTTTTGTTTCAAGTTGTGTTTCAAGTTTTGTTTCTGGGGCGTTTCGGATTTTGTCTCTGGGCCCTGGCCTGGTTTTGTTTCTGGGCCCTGGCCAAGAGTGCCCAAGAGGCCCCCCCGGAGGCCCCAAGAGGTCAGAGTTGTGAGGATGCCTCAGGCGGTTGTGGCCAGACCACCTGCTCAGGGCATCTCGCAACTCAGAGTGGCGAGGGTCTCAGGCGGAAGTGGCCAGACCACCTTGGGGCAATGTATCTCCGAGGTCAGAGCTCAGTGCATCTCGGAACCCAGAGTTGCGAGGATGTCTCAGGCGAACGTGCCCGGACCACCATTGGGCAGGGCACCTCCGAGGTCAGAGATCGCAGGATGTCTCAGGCGAGATCGGAATGAACACCTCACCTCAGGGCGTCTCGGAACCCAGAAATGCGAGCGTGTCTCAAGCGAAAGTGCCCGGACCACCGTGGGGCAGGGCACCTCCGAGGTCAGAGTTTCGAGGATGTCTCAGGCGAAAGTGGTCTGACCAACTCAGGTCAGGACGTCTCGGAACCCAGAGCTTTGAGGATGTCTCAGGCGAACCGGGCCTCCTCCTGCGCTTCCTCCTCTTCATCCTCCTCCTCCTCCTCCTCCTCCTCCTCCTCCTGCTCTTCCTCCTCCTGCTCTTCCTCCTCCTGCTCCTCCTCCTCCTCCTCTTCTGCCTGGATGCTGCGCCGGTTGCGAACGCCTGCTCCTCCACGAAATTAGTCCTCATCCGCCTCCCCTTGCTCATGTCCCTCCCCGCCTCCTCGCTCTTTCTCCCCCTCCTCCTCCTCCTCCTCCTCCTCCTCCTCCTCCTCCTCCTCCTCCTCCTCGTCCTACTCCCCCCCCTGTCCTGTCTTCATCCTCCCACTCCTCCTCCCTCCTCCTCCT